CTGGGATGAGGATCAGCACCTCCAAATCTGAGACCATGGTTCTCGACCGGAAAAGGGTGGCTTGCCAACTCCGGGTCGGGGGAGAGGTCCTACCTCAAGTGGAGGAGTTTAAGTATCTCGGGGTCTAGTTCACGAGTGAGGGTAGGAGGGATCGGGAGATCGACAGGCGGATTGGTTCGGCGTCTGCAGTGATGCGGACGCTGAGCCGATCTGTCGTGGTGAAGAGGGAGCTGAGCCAGAAAGCCAGGCTCTCGATTTACCGGTCGATCTACGTCCCAATCCTCACCTATGGTCATGAGCTTTGGGTAATGACCGAAAGAACGAGATCGCGGATACAAGCGGCCGAAATGAGTTTCCTCCGTAGGGTGGCCGGGCTCAGCCTTAGAGATAGGGTGAGGAGCTCGGACATTCGGGAGGGACTCGGAGTAGAACCGCTGCTCCTCCGGATCGAAAGGAGCCAGTTGAGGTGGTTTGGGCATCTGGTCAGGATGCCTCCTGGACGCCTCCCCGGGGAGGTGTTTCGGGCATGTCCTGCCGGCAGAAGGCCCCCGGGTCGACCCAGGACACGTTGGAGAGGTTACATCTCCAATCTGGTCCGGGAACGCCTTGGGGTCCTGCCGGAGGAGCTGGTGGACAAGGCCGGGGAGAGGACGGTCTGGAGCTCCCTAATTGGGATGCTGCCCCCGCGACCCGGACCCGGATAAGCGGAGGAAGACGACGACGACGACGATAATTATTATTATGTTCTTTATTAGATCATTATTTTCCTTTTCATGTGTTTTATATGTATTTGGTATGACGGAAACACCCTGAAATTATGTATTTTGGTAATTTCATCATTTGATTCAGTGTTGTCGTTCTGTGTTGGCAAGATAGTAATATTATCCTCGTTTTAAAATAAAAATAGTTTTCACAGTAGAAAGTAGCCTACGTGCGTATGACGTCAGACGTCATCACAGCAACATTCACGCCTTGGCGCGTCCTTCCTTCACGGCCTTTTGGCTAAGATCGTGTGGCTTCCCTCTTTTCGGTAAGTCAAATTAAATCGACATGTATAAAATTTATTATAAAAGTAGTATAGTTAGCTAATTCAGATATGATTTTATTGGAGGATGGTACAAACATTATTTCATGACAAAAAAAGCAAACACTTTTTCAGAGCATAACTATTAAGGCTAGTACTGTCAAAGTAGCCTAGTAAACCAGACCGTCCGTTTGTCTTGCTAGGCTAATCCCCCTCAAAATGTAGCTTAATAAATGTACCTTCTTTCAGGACATTTGCCCAATTAAATTGTCAAAACGTCTATAATACAAATACAAATATTAAGAAGAAGACTTATTTAAAGTATGCATTACTTAAACTGCATACATTTTCAAAATTATTGCTAGCTCGTTTCCCAAACAGAGGTGCGCCCCCTGGGGGGAAAGCGGTGCATTTGCAGTAGGATGAATAAAAAGTTGAAAAGTAAAATGTTAGGATGCTGCTAGCATAACAGGCAGGCTTTTGACGTGGCTAACACAAAAATACAAAGATAACCAGCAGGCTCACACCAGTCATTGAGAAGATGAGATATTAAATATGCCATTTTTGTCTAAATAAACCTTTACAATTTTAATTTTCCTTTTTTCATGGAATTGTTTGAGCACTAAAACCGATTTTGCACAGAGACATGTTTTTTGTTTACTTAGAGCTGTGGTTAGTTTATTCTTTTAAAAAAAGATTGCCGTTTATTTTTTTGTAATCTTTAGTTTATTGCTGTTACTTTTCGTTGTTCAAATCGTCAAGATTGTTTGCGATGTGTAATAAACTGTAATGTAGTTAGAAAATGAGATTGGTGTGTTTGGAGCGTGTTGGGAGGCACAGAAACAACATTTAAAATCAAGGTGGAGCCATGTTTGGTAACCACTCAGCTAGCCTATTATAGTCTTCAATTAATCTTTTTTAATGAGATAAATTATAACAAAATGGCTTGTAAAAGTGTAGTTCACACATTTTTATGCATTTCTGTTTTTTTAACTGGAATATTGGAGTTTTTTTGTTCTTGTAAATCTTTAGAAGTACGCCTATTTGGACAATTAGTCATAACTTATATTTACCACATGTTGTCACTCTTTTCAGACAATGACGAAACCCAAACTTTTCAACTGCCCCTCCTGTGGGGGGAGTAATCGCACCTGTGGGCACTGTCTCACCACCCTCCAGACCCCCAGAATAAGACAGCAACAAAGCCGCATCCAGGCCTGTGGATGGGCCTCAAAAGTTAAACAAAACCGCGATGCTGGCCGAATTCTGGGTTCAGCAGAGCTTTCTGTGAGTTTATAAGACAGTACTGCGGTGAGAATAGTTGAGGGGGAAAAATCATAAAAGAAATTTGAGAAGTGAGAGTAAATTTTTTTATAATTGTAATATGTTGTTTTCTTTTAGGTCCTAAAACTACAGGAGCTGGGGGTGTGCCCTGTCCTGTTTGGGAAAGCAGGGCTGGAATGGTCAGTTGAGAGCAGATTTGCTCCAACATTTCCCAGATTTGGACTCGGTGGGCCAGGACATTCTGCGGAAAATGAAGAAGCTCTACGAGCATCTTCTGAAAAGTGAAATGACTTGTCATTTATTATTTCCCTATAACTAAAGTGTACTTTAAATAAACGTACAATGTGAGTTACAGTCGCTATGTTTCCTAGGCTTTGACTTAACAATATGATAAAAATGTAGTAACACTGTTTTAGTAAGCCAAGATTAAACTGTAGCTTGATCACAGTTTTAGTTAAGTTAGTATTTTCTCACACACAGAAGACTGATGCTTAATAAAATTATTGTAAGAAGAAATTTAATGTACATCCAATCAAATGAACAATTTTAACTCTTTACTACACTTTCTAAATTAATGTGTTTCATTGACGATGAAAAGCAGAGCACAAATTAATGGACAGTATTATGCTTCAACAATCCTCCCAGATTAATTTATATATTATAATTCTATTGTTGTTATCACCATAAAGCCCACTCTCACTGTGAAATAACTTACACGTAGAGTGGTTGTCAGTTTTCTAAACCATCTTAATCAGCAACATTTTGTGGCTATTGCCAAATTTCTGAGTGTAAGACCATGAGACATGTCCAATGGAGAAAATAGCTAAATGACAGATGTTTATTGCAGATGTTGTGGTTCAGTCAAAAGATATAAAAGGGCAATGGACCTTGTTCACCATATTGACCCAAATATATGTGCGGTTATAAGACGACCCCTGCTTTTCAAGACTAATCTTAAGAAAAAGACTTAATTCACTTTTTAAAGTAAAAATTTTATTTGAAATTTTGAGAAAGTAATCAAAACGATTCAGTAATTACTGAGTGCTTTGATATTTGACTATTAATGCAATCATAAAAATCTGTAATGTATATTCTAGCGCAGGGGTGAGTAATCCTGGTCCTTGAGGGCCAGTATCCAACAGGTTTGAGTTGTTTACCTGCTCCAACACAGCTGATTTCTCAATGACTCACCTGTTCAGCAGCTCATCAGGCTCTGCAGCAGCCTCTTAATCACAAGCGTGCTGGATAACGGCCCTCAAGGGCCAGGCTTGCCCACCCCTGTTCTAGCGCATGTGGGGTTGTCAGCCTTTATCAACTATGCCTGTACTATCTTTGTGTCACCCTTCCTCATCAACCCTCTCTTGTTCTGGTTCTGATCGGTGTTCCTCCTCCTCTTCGGCACATTCGTCAAATCTACTTTCTGCTCCAACTCCAGTTTGCACCCCTAATCCTGGTGGGTTAGGGTTAGGGTTAGGGTTTAACCCTAACCCTAACCCTAACCCTGGCTCTTCAGGAAAAAATAAAAGACCTCGAATGAAAGGTTAGATATTTCCCTGTTTGTCTTTGTTAAAATGGTTGCAGCTTTCAATTTTTTATTAGTTTTTATATACATACAGTATATATATATATATATATATTTAGAGTGCCGAAAACACAGGAGACAAACGGTGTTCTTGTATGAAGAGGTTGTGGACAAGAGAGTTATCAATGTAAGTTAAAAAGTAAACATTGTAGTTACAGTCTTTTGCATTTTTCTTTCTAAGATATGAAGTGTCGAGGGTGCGTTTCCAAATTGCAGATAAAAATGACCACAAAGTGTTGGTTGAACAAGTGTAGAAAACACTTAAGACATAAGATGAAAAGGTAAGTCGATACGATGAAAAAATACAGCAAAGATGTCCAGAGCATCATTTTGACCAGACATTCAACGGCACAATCCCAAATACGATGGGCCTTAGAAAACTAACAGCTTGGAGAAGGGGCGGTTTTTTGTACGGCTGACATACAGCACAGGCTGAACGTTTGGACACACTGAATGTGTTGTCTTTATTTTCATGACCATTTACATTGGGAGATTCTCACTGAAGGCATCACAACTATGAATGAACACATGTGGAGTTATGTACTTAACCAAAAAAGGTGAATTAACTGAAAACATTTTTTTATATTCTATTTGCTCCAAAATAGCCACCCTTTGCTTGGATTACTGCTTTACGCACTCTTGGTATTCTCTTGATGAGCTTCAAGAGGTGGTCACCTGAAATGGTTTTCCAACAGTCTTGAAGGAGTTCCCAGAGGTGTTTAGCACTTGTTGCCCCCTTTGTAAATGGTCATGGTCATGAAGATAAAGAAAACACATTGAATGAGAAGGTGTGTCCAACCTTTTGGCCTGTACTGAACACAAACAACCTTTCACTCTCACATCCAATAACTAGGGGCAGCCTACACAGGCAAATCTTCCTAAATAAATCTGCTTGACTAACCACTGGCACAGCGGTCTAATTTCTGAAATATTTTCCAAGTTTTACATTATATTATGCAGTGACTGTATTACTGTATTATTTCTACAAAATGCTACACCAGTAGTGGTGTAAATATTGATGATGCAACTGGGGGAACTGGAACAGGGCTCAGATGCCGTTGCGGCCCACTGACATCGCTCACATAACAGGCATTAAGCAGTGTGACAAAGTGAGAGTTGATACAAAACTCATGTCCTTTTTAATGGAGTATATTCTATTATTGCAGCAGTAATGAACAACATGGGGCTAGCAGGCAGCCTAGACATAGGCCTAACATTACATGACAGTGTTTGATTTAATCATTTATAATTGTGTCCTTTTATCTGAACCAGAGGGAACAAACATCTTCTGATAATTTATACGTAAAAAAATTAAAAACAGTCGTCTTTAGGAAGGGAAACGAGAACGTTCTCACACCCTGGGCGTGGAAAACTGACGCGGTGCGACCAAGCGTTTGTTTCTGACGCATAGGGCGCCCCTGCGCGTCGGGAGGGGACGCTCTGGCACAGCGCCCTCTAGCTGCAGTGGGTGTCACTGGCCCAGTAAGTAATTTAAAGTGGAACCAGCTGTTGGCCGGTAACTGCCAGTTTCCTGTGGGAGGCCAGGCCGTTGGCCGGTCTCACCTGAAGTGTTTGGTGGACATTTTTGGATGTTATGGGTGATTGTGTAGCCGTTTTAACGAAGGACGATTGATCTTAATCCACAGAGTTTTAGTGCAGACAACACAGTTGATTGTTGGACTGAGAGGATGTGTGCATGGAGCCGTTACATCACACAGGTAACATGGTTTAGGTATTAAATGCTTGTTGATAATTAGTGTAGTTTGTAATTAGATGTTTTATCTTCCCAGTGATGCATTGCCACCTGCTGGCCTTGTTGGATTGGTTTAGAGGGTTAGGGTTTTCTCTGGTTGGTCGGCCTCGCCTGGAGGGCGTAATCATGCTGTGAGAGCTGGAACGCCTGCAAAGGCAGACTTTACTTCATTGTGTTAGCACTACATAACCTCTGACCCCTCACCCCTAACCTTAACCCAGTATCAGTCTAAATTTTCCGTCAAGCGTGTTTGAGAGGAACGATGAGACGCGAAACAAAGCTTTGCATGTGCAAGCTGCCTAAGGTTAGGATGGGGGTGGGGGGAAAGGTTAAATCACAAGAGGGTAAAGGTCACAAGTCGCTCAAACGTCCGTTTTACCGCGGGCGTCAGATACCGACGCTCTGGCAGCGCGTCGGGGCTCTCCTCACGCGTCGGAAACAAACGCTTGGTCACACGTGTCATTTTTCGACGCTCAGGTTGTGAGGATGTGTTCCGGTTTAGAGCCTGGTCCAGTCCGTTCAGTCTTCCCAGATTCCGTGTTCGGATTTTCAGACGATTAAAATATGAATCTCGCTCAAATTTCTTATTTAATAAATTAATAATATTAAAGAAAAGAAGTCCAGCTGATTGCTTCATCGCATGTCTGTCAGATCTTCCTGTCGTTTCCGTGACAACCTTGGTCCAGCTGTGTAGATTTTACACTGATTTGGTTTCCTGTTGAATTGTGATTCTGTCTCCTCCTAAACAGGTGTCTTCTTCGCCCTGGCCTCTGCAGGAGTAAAAAACAAAACTTATCCCTCGAACCAGGAAACGGGATGAAGTTATTCAACAGGAAATCACCCGTGAGGTCTGATCCCTTCATCCTGCTGCTCTGTGTGACACGAGGCTCTGAGGCGAGGAGGTTCTTCTGCTCTCTGGGGCTGACGAAGGAACAAACAGCTTTTAGCATCCTTACAGCGCTGCAGGAAGTCAGAGCATCTCACGAGTCACATGACCGGTCAGGGCAGCAGCAGTCATAGATCATGATGGTGCAGATTTAGCCTGAGGATCGCTCAGTTTAACATTATTATTAAAACATTCATCATAACATATTTAAAGATTAAATAAAAGTTACGGGGTCCTGTTGAAAAGTCTACTTGTTTATTATTTATTTGTTTATTTATTTATTGAGAACTTCATTAGCTCCCACCACAGTGGAGCTACTCTGTGAGGTCTACATAAAGACCGAAGGACGTTTTCTGTTTCTGTGTCCAGTTTTCTATGAATTCTTTGTTTTTATCTCTTGGTTCTCACGTGCAGCACTTTGTGATCACACGCTTTATAAATAAAGTTTTATTCATGCATCACTAAAAACTGCAGTTGACCAAATGAGGGGACATGTCTCCTCTAAAATGATGCCCATGATATTATCTAAACGTAGATCAGAAGCACTGATGGAGGCCAGCTCTCCATGATGATCAGTCAGGAGGAAACCTGCTGCTGCAGAAGCAGAGAAGAGCTGCTTCATCTCACAGCCCAGCGGCACCAGCTACAGGACCTTAAATATAATTATCACATTATGAGTTGACGCTAAATAATAATTAGTTTGTTACCTTTTTGAGTTTCTCACAGATGCACGGCAGCACCCCCATCAGCGCCGCCAGCAGAACCACCAGAACTATCAGTCCAATACTCCAAACTGAACACAAGACAACATGAAATGAAATGCTCCACCTCTTGGTCTCGTGAAGACGTCGCAGCGCTGCAGACCTGTTTTAGTTTTCTCCCGAGTTACAGCCTCCATGCTGCTCCTGCTGGTTCTGACGGTGCAGATGTAGACCTGATCAGAACCATCTGAAACCGTCAGAGAGATGCTG